CTGGCACTAGGGTCTGCCTTCTCTTTCAGGGTTTCTCTATTATACAAAAAAGAAAAAAAAAAAAAACACTGAGACTAATTCTTATTAAAATAATTTGACCTTTAAACCAAATTACATGGAATCATAATTCATGTTATTTTGTTACAATTTATTTTATTTTTAATTAAACATAACATGTATCCATATTTATGGGACACAGGGTGATATTTTGATACATACATACATGTAACGATCAAACTGATTTTAATACAAACTTGACATGCAGAGGAAAACGAAATCCCAGTCTCCAAATTTCTACTTCCTTATAGAACATAGCAGCATCTGGGCGAGGATGGATTTATGATGAGGATATAGATATCCCCTTAGGAAAAGCTGGGCTGGAAACAGGACCTCGGGATAATGTCACTGGTGATGCTCTGTGTTTCTATCCCCGACTGCAGCTTCAAACTGGAGCTGTGAAGGAAGCCAGGGATTTGTGAACCAAGGAGAAACTGAAGCCAGATATCGGGGGATTTGGAGAAGTCTGGACTGTATCCTAGAAGGTTCGGAGTGAAGCAGGAATTCAGAGGCGGAATGTAGAGCTTCCTCTAAGTGTCTGTATGTCTTATCAGAATTCCAAGCAAAACAGGGCCCTTACCCCAAGCAAGGAGCTGTGGAACAGGCTTTGAACAAAGTAGGAAAACAGCCTGACTGTGTAGGGTCTGTCGTAGATCAACCCCCCTCTCCCCTTCCTCTATGAGGAGTGCCCACCCGCACTGTGCCACCACCTGTCTGCATTCCCTGATTGATCTGTTCTCCCACCCCTTCAGTGTCTTTGCTGATTCCCGAAGAGCTCGACCGAACAAACCTGTGTTCAAGGCCAATGACCTGCTTGAAGAATTAGGCCATCTCTTCTACTCTCTATCCAGTAGGCTCTCACATTTCCACCAAAACATATCTAATAGTTGCCAGGAGAGTACTTTGATTACTACTGATGATTTGCATTGACTTCTCTGGTCTTTGATGTGGGAAAGAGGGTACTTTTAACCTCAAAGGGCACGGACAACAGTAATTGAATTTACCAAAGAATTTTTCGACCATTTGTTTTGGTGGTGCATCACAAATTATACAATTAACCAGGCAACAAATATATTTGTGTTAAGTAGATGCTGGAGACAAGATCAGATTTTATTATCAATGTGGCACCAGTTTGTACCCTCAGCATGCTAACAAAAAATATACGTTGGACCAGGTGCAGTGGCTCTCCCTTATAATCCCAAGTACTCTGGAGGCTGAGGCAAGAGGATTGCAAGTTGATAAAAAGGAGAGAGGATGTTTCTCAGTGGCAAAGCAACCCTGATTTCAATCCCTAGTCCTTCAGCCCCCCCAAAAGCTTACTTTTGAAGGACTATCTGCAATAGTATGCAAAGTCAATAAATGAATGAGACAATGTGGCAAAATGGCAGGAAAAACATGCTTGAAAATCTATGAGTCTGACTGAGACAATTTTGTACATCAAGAAATGAGGAAAAACATGTTGGGTACTTGTAGGCTCTGTTGAAAATATTCCCTGCTGTTGATGACCCATTTGAAATGTGCTGAATTAGTTGACTGTTTTTTAATCCATTGAAGACTTACAAGGTTAAGAACTAGATGCACATCCTGCTAGTCAAGTTGATTAAGAAAAAAAAATTTTATGTCTGAATTTCATATGATAAGCTAGATGAGAAAAGTGGCCAGCAGGATTGGGTGGTTTAACCCCACCAACTTCTTCTCTCCCGACATCCTCCAGGGCATCAAGTAAGTCAAGAGGCCTCTTAGGCTTTTCTTGGTGTCTTGGACATTTTAATAAGCTCTGATGACCTTCTGAGGGTTTGCCATCCTGACCTTGCTACTGTCCTTACTCTAGTCTCATTTGTAAGAGTCCATGCTTATGGCCAAGGAATCTCAGGGCTCTCCCCACCTTTGTGGTTAACTATCTGGGAAAATGGGCCTCAGCACTTACCTTGGAACTTCATGTTCCATAATTTTGAAATTATAATTGATCTAATTTCCTTTCTTAATTTTTTTTAAAAGAAGGAATTTTAAACCCAATAAAATAGTCACCATCACTTTCTAGACAGCAACATGCAAAATTAAATACGGAAGTAGGGAGATTGCAAATGCTTTTTCATGATGGAACTGAAGGCATCAAGATGATTATGCAAACATTTAGGCAAATATAAGGCTGGGGTTTAATTCTAAGAAACACAATGTTAAATATGGAATTCCAGTCAATCCATTGGTGCTCTCCTTTGCTAGTTGATGGCAAGCAGTTGTTCATATTAACACAATGTACTAACCAAGAGGTTAGCTAATGTTTATTTTGTTTAGCTGTTTTGACCAAAGGGCCTCCATAAACTTCTTTCCTCATAGTGTACACTGAGAAATAGGTAATATGATTTATTTGGCTATCATCTTCCATTTAGCTTGAAGACATTTGTCATAAGAAATGCATCAATTCCATGATCAGAGAGAGTCAAAGAATAAATGAATACAGTTTATGGACCTTAGTAGAATCTGAAAAACTTGTCTCCAGATCAGTTGCAATGAATGATCCCAATAATGAACCACATCAGAAGATGGCACATAATTCTCACAGTTGTAACTTGTACTTCTAAAATTGTTCCATTGTTCAGCAACAAATTTTCCACATAATTGAATTTGCTCGCTGGTAACTTGAATTAATTGAAAATTCATGCACCCATTAGCGTGTTTTGGAAGGTGTTTTAAAAGTGGCTTGTTTAGAACAGTTGCTGGCACCCCTGGAATTCACAAGGATGCCAACCAAATGCCATTTCAAATAAAAAGTGTTTTTCTCTTTTGGCAACATGAAAGAGCAGAGTTACACAGTAGCTCTTAATTTATGAACTATGCTTTCTAACTTTCAGCCTCCCATGATACATGCAGTTTTCTTTAAGGAATCAGGGTAGGAGCATGTAATAAAAACAAAAATCCTATTTCCACATCTGCTTTTTAATTTGAAATCATATGGGCCTCTGATTGTAATTCATCCCATTCTCAGGCATCCTGGATCAAGTAGGAGCAGAGATTGAATCCCATAGTGACTTCTATTTGTAGTGTCATTTAATGGCGAATGAGACAGGAATCTCCAAGGGTCAATGGATGGTGATTGTTAAAGCAACTAAATTTTGGCAAATTTTCTATTTGTTTATGCTACAGACAAAGTTTATGGCACTGTTTTACGTTCTATATTCCAGAAAGCATTTTGGCAGCCCCAGGTCATGTTCTGAAGTTATAGAATCATCCTCCCAAAACCATGCTGTCAGTGCTGACCAGCAGGAGGACATAGCTACTCAGAACAGATCAGGCTGAGAGGCAGGCAGGTGGACAGAGAAATCCACTGGAGCCTAACAGTGTTTTGGGGCGGTGAGCTGAGTGCCTCCTCCTAAGTGGTCCACTAAACAAAGAGTTCATTGTAAGTGGGCCTGATCCCTAGCAGAAAGAGGACAATGATTCAATTTCAGTGGGAGTAGTTAACTCTTTTCTTCCCTTTTTCAGGGAGGACGGGTGTTGAGTGAGTATTTAGTGACTCTTTTCCCTGGTTGGTAGCAGGGGATCTTAGTGTCAGGGACAGTATTTATTCTTACTGCATTTTCTATGCAGCCGAATGGCAGGATCCTCTTGTATAATCTCCCTTCCTGCACTCCCTTTCTTCCATCTAGCATAAGTGGAGTATGCAGAACACACATTCTTAATAATCACTAAATCATTAAAATGGTCCGCAGTTAGTTCTCTGTTTTATTTTCATACAGAAGTGACTAAAGAGGATTTTTGACTTTGTATTTTTAGAGTTTACTTTCAAACTTGATCTGGGAAATCCATTGGTCTATATCAAGGATACTGAAAACTATATGTTGTGCTTTAACTTTTTCACAACTGAGCTTAAAGGGAGAACAATGATACTTTGCCTGGGGTTGGTTGTGAAGGCATCGGAAAACCAATGAAGAGCTAGAGAGAAGGATCCAACTGTGTGGCAGTAGGCTCCCTTTAAGAGAGAACAAGATTAGCAACTTTGGCAAATTTTAGGTTTCTATTCAGAGGGAAAGAGAAGAGCTGCCAATGTCTGGGGGTGGGGGGGTGGATAAAAGAATGAAAGAAAGGATGGATGTTATGAGACAAAGGCAGAAGCAACTCTACACCTTACCGAAAGCTTACCTGGGAGTGGTTTTAACTCCTCTAGGGTAAGAAAAAGTATTTTCCAGTTAAGACTAAGGGTGGAGCTAGGGGGAAGGTGTTTAATCTGCAGTAGATGCTCAGGGGTTCTGCTGTATCCTGGGAAGCACACAAGGAAGAGAAGTGTGTGTGGGAAGAGAGACAAAGCAGCAAGCACTGGAGGTGAGGACCACTTATTAGCAACCAGCACGTAAGTTCCATTAAGCGGAGGTAGAAACTCTTTCTTGTGTTGTTCTCCAAGGAAAACCGTATGGATTCAGCACTGGGAACACTTATAAGACTGCTGGACAAATAACCAAATTATAGTTTATCTTTGTCTATTATGAATTAGTTTATTTTCTAGATGCCCTCATGCAAGAAGAATCTACAAAAACAAAAGCAAATGTTTTCTATCCTCAGGTCTGAAAGAGTAGTGAGGTATCATTTGGTATAATCATGGTGTTTACTCAAGCTTTCCGCATATAGAAAAAAAAATGTTATTTTCTCTAATCGCATATTTTGTTGCTATCACGACTCTATTGAATTCTAAACTGAAACGAGAAATCAATACTGAATGTCTCTATGGTTCAAACGAAGTCGTAGCTATTTCAGATGGCAGATAATTACTGCAGATTTGTCCAATGGCTATGAAGGTAGAAATCCAAAGCTAAAAGTTCAGTGGGTTTAATTTTCTTATTTATTTATTTTTAGATCTTAACTGAAAAAAAAAAATCAAGAACCATTAGCACACCTAGAACGATTACTGCTACAGAACTCAACTGAACGCCCTAAAGACACAACAGAGAATGAGCTATTACGGCAGCAGCTATCGAATTGTAAACGTGGACTCCAAATACCCAGGCTACCCGCCAGAGCACATCATAGCTGAGAAGAGGAGGGCCAGACGGCGTCTCTTGCACAAAGACGGCAACTGCAATGTGTACTTCAAGCACATTTTTGGGGAATGGGGGAGTTACATGGTGGACATTTTCACCACTCTGGTGGACACCAAATGGCGCCACATGTTTGTGATCTTTTCTTTGTCTTACATTCTCTCCTGGTTGATCTTTGGCTCTGTCTTTTGGCTGATCGCCTTTCATCATGGAGACCTGCTCAATGACCCAGACGTCACACCTTGTGTCGACAATGTTCACTCTTTCACGGGGGCGTTTTTATTCTCCCTGGAGACCCAGACCACCATAGGGTACGGTTACCGTTGTGTCACCGAGGAGTGCTCGGTGGCAGTGCTCACGGTGATCCTGCAGTCCATCTTAAGCTGCATCATCAACACCTTCATCATTGGAGCTGCCCTGGCCAAAATGGCAACTGCCCGAAAGAGAGCCCAGACCATCCGATTCAGCTATTTTGCTCTGATAGGCATGAGGGATGGGAAGCTTTGCCTCATGTGGCGCATTGGTGATTTCCGACCAAACCACGTGGTAGAAGGGACAGTGAGAGCCCAGCTTCTCCGCTATGCAGAAGACAGCGAAGGGCGGATGACAATGGCATTTAAAGACCTCAAGTTAGTCAATGACCAGATCATTCTAGTGACCCCAGTAACAATCGTTCACGAGATTGACCATGAGAGTCCCCTGTATGCCCTCGATCGCAAAGCAGTGGCCAAAGACAACTTTGAGATCTTGGTGACCTTTATCTACACTGGCGATTCTACTGGGACCTCTCACCAATCGAGGAGCTCCTATGTGCCCCGAGAAATCCTCTGGGGCCACAGGTTTAATGATGTCTTGGAGGTGAAGAGGAAGTATTACAAAGTAAATTGCTTGCAGTTTGAGGGAAGTGTGGAAGTGTATGCCCCCTTTTGCAGTGCCAAACAGCTGGACTGGAAAGATCAGCAGCTACCCAACATGGGAAAGTCATCACCTGTCCGAGAATCCTGTACCTCAGACACCAGTGTCGGAAGAAGGTCCTTTAGTGCAGTTGCCATTGTCAGCAGCTGTGAAAACCCGGAGGGGACCACCACCTCTGTCGAGGAGGAGTGTAAGGAAGCTCCTTATCGGAAAGCTCTCCTGACTCTAAATCGAGTCTCCATAGAGTCCCAGATGTAATCCCGCACATAAGCGGGGCTCCTGCTTGATCTATCTTCAGCCAATCACCTAAGGCAAGTAGTTGTAATCATGGCTTTGAAAAATGTTACAGCTGTGTTCTGGTGATGGTAGTAAGTAGAGTAGGTTAAACTCATAAAAAATAATATATACATTCCATAGCTTTATGTCATCAAAATTTATTTTTTTTTTTTGCTAGCAATTTGGTTTAGAAATCTATTATGAAGACTAGAGGAGTAAGTTTCGTCTCCTCTCATTATCTCATTTACTTGTACCTTCAATTGGAGGAACAATTTTCAGTAATGGGGAATAAAGGCAAGGTGCTAAAATCAGGAAACACTGGAAGACAGGAAAACTAGAACGAGTACGTTTTTTAATCTATAGAAAATGATAACAGGAGAGTGCTTTCTTGTAAACAGCATCCTGTCATCTAACCAAGACATATAAGCCATGCATTGAGTACCGTCATATTGAGATACATAAATGTGAAATCATTGGCCAGACAGAGTCATCGAATCTGCCTCTCACGGTGTCTCAGTATCAGCAGGCAGAGACAGGGGCTGTAAAAAAACTGGACAGTGCACCAATTCTGGGACTTTTCCCACTGCCACTTGCCTGGGTAACTAATGAGCACTGGAGCTAACTAACCCTGTGGCAGAAGAAACACTGACATTGTCATTTAGAGCAGTATCACTCTCTCAAAGACAGTTGTGGACATCCTCAGACCCTTTGAGAGAGAACTTGGCCTCTGACCTGAAAGCCTGCAGTATGGGCTGCTATGCAAGGAATAGAAGCCTCCCTCCCCCCCACTCCCTGCTCCTTGGAGCAGGTGCGGAGAGAAGGATGTATTCATTTGTGCCCAGAAACATCTTGGTCACCTTATAAGACATAAATGCCTCTAGTTTGAAATTGAAAATAAAATCTTTTGTTGAACTTGGAGCAAGCATTCATATGGATGATTTTGTGAAATATAATACAAACAAGGCAATTTTAATATATATTAAATGAAGAATCTAAATATTAGGGGACTAGTTACATTTTAGAACATGGGATAAATTTCTATACTCTGTTTCTAGGTTAATAGCTATCAAATTATGATTACTTTAGGCATAAATTCAATCACCTTTGAGGGAAGAATCAATTTCAGAATTATCAATTGAGGCATAATTAGCTACATTTGAAATTATTTGTGTGTGTGTGTGTGTGTGTGTGTGTTTTCTGTTGTTACTGCTCTGGCAATAAGTGTATGCCACAGATTTTATTTGTTTATTTTATTTAAATATACATCTCTATAGACATACACACAGTTTCTGTTTTCTTTCTGGAAAATCAATCTCTCTCTCTCTCTCTCTCTCTCTCTCTCTCTCTCTCTCTCTTTCTCTCTCTCTCTCTCTCTTTCTCTCTGTCCCCACATTTTTCTTTCTTTCTCTCTTCCCTTCCTGACTGGCTTCTCTCCTTCATTGCTTCTTTCCCCTCTTTCTACTGCCCGGAAGCAAGTTACTTTTTAAATGAACACATGAAAAATCTGTCATTCCCGTTGACTTGTGAAATAAAAAATTTGCTTAGGTCATAAGTTGCAAAACTCTCCTGGACCTTAACAATCAGAGATCTAAGTGATGTACATTTTGCACATTTTTTTTTCTGTCTTGCTTCAGGAATGCAAATTCCATTTTTTTAAAATCACACACACTCACACATGGAAAATTTGGATTTTATAGCAGCAATTATTTGACAAAATTAGAGTATTACAATCTCCAAGGTAGAAAAAGAATAATCAGGACAATAATCAGAAAGCACTCCTCACTTTTTTTTTTTAGTTTACTTTCCCCAGGTCTAGATTTCTTTCCCCATTTTGCTTCTGGATGATGTTTGCCTGGATAATATCAGATCAGGGGTATTGACATTCAGTTAAATACATTCTTTTGTGCTGTGTGCCTCTACAACCAAATGCTCAAATGGAAGAGAATGTAAAATCTGCAGTGATGTGCGAGAATTGTCTCTAATTTTCTGTGTTGATTTCTAACACACTTGGAAACTCCCCAATGTTAATAATAAAGATCTTAAAATAAAAATAATGCTAAATGAATGTGCAGATAGTTTATTCTCTGTAGTGCAAACTCTATTTGGTGATTAAAAGAATGCTGTCTTATATAATGATAACATAGGCAGTACCGTCAACCATTTTCATGGTTTTTTTTTTTAACAGCTTGTGGACAGCTATGTCTGAAATAACAATTAGTTGCTTCTGTGAGTGTTAAAAAAAGGTCCTGTGCAAAATGCCTGTTCTGGTTTTAAATGCTCCATTGATGATAAGTAGGTTGAATATTTTTTCTGATGCCATACATCTTCTCCCTAAAAATGAAACGGTGCATTGGAGTTAATTAGATGGAGAACAAATCGTGGTATCAGGTATTGTTCCAGGGTGTGCTCAGTCTGTGAACAATGCCCTGAGGGGGAAATAAACCCAGAGAGACAGAAGGAACTCCTATTTTCATGTGCTACCACTCCATCAAACACTGATATGCTTGAAACAGATAGGCTTAGTCTCCACCACAAAATAGTGAGGTGGACATTTTAAGTCTCATTTCTTCAAATGCCCAATTCTAAGCTTCTTCCTAACAAATTGCTAATTGGAACAACAATGTGCTCAGGTTAACAAAAAATTGCAGTACATGGGGCAGGGGAGTTATATGGCACTGTTCTGAGCTATATAATCTCAGCAGAGATCTCCCCAGGGTAGCCTTTTTGAAAGCTCTTTTTTTATAGGGGCTGAATTAGCTGACATACACCCTTACACTCTCTGTGGACCTCAGACTTGATGGCTGATGCCCTTGCCGCCATATTGTGATGAGGCAAATCAAGGATACCTCCTTCAAGGAAAAATGGGAAGACGAGAGAGACTGCACCCCTAGATCCCATATCTCCAGACTTCCTTTGCATGAGTGCAAATAGTTATGATCTCTAACAGAGTAAGTAAGCCATAGGTGCAAAGGGAATTATGAATATATGAATAAATTCCAGTAGATGAAAAAAAAATGAACCCCAATATTATGTATAACTATAATGTGCTAAAGAATGTATTTTTAAACAGATAAAAATGCTTTATCAAAAATATATAATAGCATAAACTTACTAAAATAAATTATATATTTTTACAATTAAAAAAAAAAAAAGAAAACAAGACAGGTAAGAGAAAAAAGCGATGTAGAGTCCAAATCCAACTGTGCATGATGTTTGATGGAGCCAATCGCTGTGGAAAGGGCATGTTTTCTGAGGAGCCGAGGAAATGCCATTATTAGTGTAAAACAAACACAAGGGACTTGGTCTGGGCCTGGAGATCCCTCTGAGTCTGGTGGCCAAGGGACCTGGTGGCAGGGCCTGCAGTGGAGATGCCCTTTTTCTTTTTCTTCCCCAGAGCAGCAATGCAGACATTCCCAGCTGCAGTGGGACTTTCACTTGGTAGGACACTCTGAGATCCTGGAGGCCTGGCAGGGGCAAGGCAAGCACCACACAGCTGGATGGGGTGGGAAGGGGCCAGAAGCAAACTGCACAGAAGACTCTGCTCATGCGGCCTCAGCAGACCCCAGAGAGACCAAGCGGCTTCCATTTTGAGTGTTCGAGGGGAGGATCATACATACAAGGACCCTGCACCCCTACTTGTTCTTCTGACTTCCGAGTTGGGGTTTGGATAGGTATGAAGGCAGAATTAGACAGACAGTCAGTATAGATAGGTAAATTGAGTCAGATCAGATCTAGGAGGCCAATTTGAGTGAGTCCTGGAAGTTGGAGACTGTCCCCTGAAGGGATTGAAATGCCTTCAGAGCCCTTCCTCCACCCTATCAAGATAACAGCCTGGGCTCCAAACTGTTGCCCAGGAATTGCTCCTCCCTACAGAGAGTTCTAAAGTTGTTAATTAATGTGTCCTGGGCTGCTCCCTCCTCCAGGGCTGCTCCATCCTCCCAACCAGGCCCTTCCCCCCATCCATCTGCCTCTCACCTTTTGGCCATCCCATCAGCATCTCTTGGGCCTGGTCAGGACCAGGAAGGAAAGAGATAAGGAGAAGAGAGCAGGAGAACAAAGGAAGCCTAAGATATATTTAAAAAGGCACAAGGCCTTGCTTCTTGGGATACCAGGATACCAGCTATGGCCCCCTTCTCCCTCCCTGGAGAAACCTGTGTTACCCCTTTTTAAATAAACTCTGCTTCACATGCTTCACGTGCTTCTCTAATGTTATACTTCATCATGTGAAGGAGCAGAATTCATCACCGAAAACGAGGGGTATCAGGTGTATGAAAGATTCTCTCGGCCAATTTTTAAATGATTAGGCACCAAATTCCACTCAGTTTAAAATATCCTGTAAGCCACATCCATTGCAGCCATGCACACTGCTGTCACAAACCCCTTACAGGGAACATTGCCAAATCCAGTATTGTTTTGTTTTGTTTAATTTTTGTGTGTGTGTGTGGTTGTAGATGGACAGAATGACTTTATTCTATTTGCTTATTTATATGTGGTGCTAAGGCTCAAACCTAGTGCCTCACACATTGCTAGGCAAATACTCTGCCACTGAGCCCCAGCCCCAACCCAAGCCCAGTGTTTTTTAAGGTAAGTGTCACTGCTGCGTAGATACCAGGCCTCCACGCCTGGTGAAGCTCTATGAATTGCAAAGCCCTGTCTTGCCTCCACCTTAAAAATCAGTGTGGCTCCTGCTCTCTCACTGTCATTTTTAAAGGAGCAGGATGACCCATTCCATGAAGAAAATAAGACAATAAAAACTGAGCACCCCTCACAAAATGTAACTGGGGAGGCCCCAGCACAGAGTGAGCTGAAGGGACGCTCTTGGCAAATTCTGTGCCAAGATGCTCCAGGATCTGAGATCTCTGAAAACAAAAATGAGCCTCTGAGACTTAGTTTGGATAAAACTGGGGCCAGAAAGCAAGCACAGCCCTTGACAGGGCATTTTTCTAAAAAAAGACGTAATGGCAATGTGGCCTCAAGGGACA